AAACTTTCAGGATGTTTCTGCGAACAAAATTTTCACGATGCTATTTCTAAGTTACAAATTTAGTATTGTTTGTAAGTTTTGATATTTTAGGGTATATTTCCATAAAATTTTACTCTTTGAAAGTGTATTTTGCAATTTTAAACATTCAAGGTGTTTTCTATAAATTTTAAAATCGGCCCATGGTGTTGTTTAGAATTTATAGATTTTATTTTGTTTGTAATTTTGATATTTTTGGGGGATGTTTATGTAAAATAGATGTTTTGTGGTTATATTTTGCAAATTTCAAAACTTTCAGGGTGTTTTGGTAAATTCAAAAAACTCAGCTGATTTTTGTAGCTTATAATTCACCGGTTGTAATATTTGATTTTTTAATTTTTTTAAACTTTTACTTATTGGTGGTGTTTTTTTATAAATCTTGAATCTTTCATTTTGTTTTTTGCAAATATAGAGTTATAGATTTTGTATTGTCTGCAAGTTTTGATATTCTCGGGGGTGTGTTTTTATAAAATTTGAGATTTTTAGGTTGCTTCCAGGGGTATTGTTTATAAGTTGTAGATTCTGCACTTTTAAGATTTTTTTTACAAAATTTAAAATTTTTCATGTTGTTATTTATAGTTTATAGATTTTGTATTGTTTTTAAGCTTTGATATTTTCCAATTTTACGTAAATTTTACACTTTTGAGGATGAATTTCCATTTTCATCATCTCAATGTGTTTTCTACAAATTTCCAAAATTTCATATTATTGTTTATAATTTATTGATTCTGTATTGTTTATAAGTATTCACATTTTTTAGATGTGTTAATGTAAATTTTGAATGTTAAAAGTTAAAAGATAAATGAGTTAAAGCTAAACGGGTCACCGAGTTGACTTGTTTATGACACGATTAATAAATAGTTATTTTGGTTGACCCATTTATAACTTGACCCATATAAGATAATCCATATCCATTTATAACAGGTGGTGCAGGGTCGGATCAACTGGTTGGGTCGTAATCTATCACCCCTAGACGTGGAAGCCAAACGACAATCAAACTATTTCTCCTTTCACTCATCTCAATCTTCAGCATCACCCTCTTATTTCGTCAACCTTTCATGATCTCCATTCCCCTAGCACCCGTCATCTACTCCCCATTTCTTATGATATTCTTTTTTTCCCCTCATGAATTCCATTTTTCTTTCTTGTTTAGATTCTACATCATATGTTAAGCTAAATCGGACTTTATTTTTCCTTATTTCCACTTATTTAATTCAAAGTTGCAATCTTAGTAATCGGGAATAAGCATTTAATGATTCCTTCATATTATTTTAGATATGGATCCTCTACAATTAGATAGTAACTAGTATTTAGACCTGTGCAAAGCACGGTATCTAAAAGATTTTCACAATTTGATTGTAGCCATTGATATTAAACCATATAAAATTTATATTATAACCTACAAAGGACTTCATATTTTCACTAAACCACATAAAATTTATATTGCTCAAACCAGCTACCTAAATGATATGTTTATAAATACTGATTAAACATTTGTGAAGATACCAGTTGACAAACATAATAAGACAATGGACAAAAGAAAACACATGATAGTATAAAATTATTTTGTTAACATGAAACCGAGCAGTGGCAGCAAATTTTGCAACCAATTTTCTATTTATAATGTCTGGTAGTCAACATGTTACTTGCGATGTAATAATTTAGTTTCCATTTTTTATAGAGGAATGCTTCAATATCTGCTGCAGCCGGGCATAATGGAAATTTCATGAAAAAATAAAAGTTCAAAAAATTAATATTATGATATCCTGCTAGCATAGTCCAACCCACAAACTACAAATAATTTTATAATTGAAGCTCCAAAAACACTTGATTTGCATTGGAAAAATATGCTTAATCAATAGATTTGCACCAAATATAACACCAAAATTTTACACTCAGAAGCACATTTCCTACAACAAATTGCAAACATTTAAACTAACATATTTCAGACTAATTTCCTATAACAAATGCCACATGGAACATTTTCTACATGCAATATTTGCTACCTTTGCCCCAAGTTAATAGAAAAACTTCCCCTTTTACATCAATGCAAACGATCAAATGCCTAATTTAACCACATAATGATCGAATGAATCTTGAAAATACCAATCCATCAAAATCTCCTACAAAACCCATTTCATAACGCATTAAAAAAATCAAAATACCCAAAAAATCTGAAAAATGTAACGAAAAGATGATATTTTTAAAATCAAGGAAACCTAATATGAGAGTCCTAGTTTCTGAGAGCGAGCTTGAATCCCCAACAGGATCGTCAATATTGTAATTTGGCTTCCTCTTCTTCTTCCTCTCCTCAGCCATTTCCTACAAAAATTGAATTTTCCCATTGTAAACAACAAAAAGATAGAATCTTTTGTACCAAACTAATTGAAAATGAGAACCAGAACCCAATACCTTAGCAGATAATCACTTCTCTTTTGGGGTTGTGGGCTCCTTCTTCTCGAAGGCATCGTAGGTCTTAATGGGTTTCGACTTGAAAGATTTCGGATCCTTTTTAGATCCGCCAGTGGATTGGAACTCAGCGGGTTTGGATCCAAAGGGCTTGCCTTTCTTGGATAGAGACGAAGAGTCTCGCTTCCGCTTCTTAGATCCACTGAATTCCTCGATGATTGCTCAAGGGAGAAGTTGGCCTAGACGTGGGAGTTAAAATAATCTGATTGCTTCTCGCTTTCATCGCTCTTCATTTTTGAAACTGCAATAAGAACCAAGGAGTTGAATTAAAACCCTTAAAAGTGCAACTTTTTTTTATCTCCAATGGCGAGATTGGCGATGAGGAGAAAGAGGAGGACCCGGCGAAGGAAACTCTTCTTCGCTGCCGACGGTGGCAGAGGTGATGACGGCGGTGGCGGAGTAGAGGAGGCGGAGGATGCCATTGAAGATGAAGGAGGAGGAATTGATTTTGCTCTTGATTGCTTCTCGGATTTTCCTGTAATCAACAAAATGGGGAATATGAGAGAATGAGAGAGAGGGTGAGAGAACGTGAGACGGTATGAGGAGGGGTTGGGGTGGTTTTCCCAAAAAATTAAAAGAGTTTATTGAGTTAGGATAGAGAGGTGAGTCTCGACTGGGTTTACAGGGGGATCTCGAGAGGGGGCTTTTTGAATTTTGAAATCGATTAGGGGAAAGAACGTGGGTAGTAGGAGAGGGAGGCAATAGGAGAGAGATGCGGGAATGGTGGCAGTAGAAGAGAGGAAAAATAATAACATGGCTCCTTTTGACGGGATGACATGGCCCCTTTTGATTGCTCCACCTAAGATTTACTGTTCATCATAACTTTTTTGTTGTTCTCCTTTCGTTTATAAGTAGTAGATTAGAGAGTCTCCAATTTCTCCAATCGTTATCGCACATTCTGAATTCAATGAGCGAGATTACTGTTGAAAACATGATATACAATGTAGTGGAAAATGCAAATACTTATCATGTAGATTAATCAAAATTAATTGAAGTTTAGAAGAATACCTAAGACTTTCCAAATTTCTTTAATAACATGTCCCAAGATCAATCCGAAATAACTTCTTCAAGAGCAAAAAAAACCTCCACATGAAATTCACTCCTCACTGAAGAGAAGCAATACTGAAAGATAGGTTCTCAATTTTTTTTATTGTGCTTCTATTTTTCATAAAAACTACATATAAATCCTATATATAAGATTAGACTAACCTTATAGATTATAATTTAATATTATCTTACATTCAGACCCTTCTAGCATCATTTTATTTTGAGCAATTTTATTGAGCAAGACAAATAATTAACCTATTTGCTCAATTCCATGAACATAAATAAAAATCATTTTAAAACATCAAAACATTTTTATTTTTATAAGAAAATAAATTAAAAAAAATTCAAAACCACTCGTCAACGGGAATTTAATAGCTTCTTGAGATATGCATAATAAATTAACTCATTAAAATGAGCATAATAGATCCTATCTAGATATTTGTTATTTTTCTAAATGAAATCTAGTAACCCAACATTTCAGGTTGCATAGCACTTATAAAAGAAGCTTAACCATCATATCGAAGCATAATAAATTATCAAATAAAAAATAACAGTATCATCAAGTCAAAGGGATTATGTAACAATTCGAATTCTCTATCTCTTAGGTGACCGGTTCTAAATAATCCAAGTATGGTTTAATGTATACATATCACAATATACGCTTATGACATACATCGGAGGAATCTTCATCTCCGGTGATTGAGACCTACCGCCACATCTCACGTGTCGGCGTCATACATAATAACATGTTATAACAAAGCTATCTTTTATTAGTTATATGTTAACAATAAATTTAAGAAATCTCTAAATCAGAGCATAAATCCAAGCAAATGACCATCATAGTGCATGATCTGACCAAACAGTTCTAAGGATAATATAAAAATTATATAAAAGTTACCCAAACAATACGTGCAATAATAAAACTTAAGTAATATTCAAATATTACATAAGAAGTATTGGATATGCAATGACATATAGACTCTATCAATCTCTCACTTGCCCTCAAAATATGTAAGGTAAACAACCAAATTAGTATGTAAAGTAGACTTGCTTAAACAATAAGGTATTTAAAATCTCTCTAGCGACTTTAGGGTAATTAAAGTGACTCATTTGTGTATCAGTGATAAAACACTAAGGGGCTGTTTGGTTCCTTTTTTTTGGGTGGTAAAAGTGGGGAAAGCTGCCAAAAATGTCAGCTTTTTGGCAGCTTTCCCCCAAAATCACCCCTTAAAAAAGTGATTTTGGGGGAAAGCTGCCAAAAAACTGACATTTTTGGCAGCTTTTTCCTCTTTTACCACCCAAAAAAACCTATCCAAACAGCCCCTAACCGCGTGCGACTTATATGTGCTGATGTAGCATCAAATAGCTGAGGTGGCAGGGATGATGTGGCATCCAATCCTAAAATTGTATAAATTCCCCCAAATGTCCAAATTCGCCCATTTGTTAAAGTCTCGAGCATGATAATGGGAGTTTAAGAGATTCTCTCCAAGTAGATCAGCGGTGGTGCTTCCGTCGAACTTGAGGCAAATAGGTGAGATACATTTAACCTTTATCTTGCCGTGATATCTTTTGAAGTAGTAGATGGTAAATAGGTTGATTTTATTCAAATAATTGAAGTAAAATCCAGAAATTGGAAGTAATTTACTATGAAATTTGTAAAATGAGTGTTTTTTCTGAAATCAGTTAGGGAATTTTGTGCAATATGTTATTCATATGTAAGATTTGTTGGGATTTTCAATATTGATAAGTTTGTAAATAATATTTATTAATAATCTGTAGATCCTCAATATATTATGACTAAGTATAGACATGGCATGCAGTTTGTTTTTGGTCATAATATTGATTAAATTGGGGGTACATTTACTATTGAATTTATGGATGCAAAAATATTTGCATTGAGCATTTGAAAGAAAGGATAATGGAGGACGAGTAACACAATGTGGGGAGATTGTATTTCTCAATTTTTGGTGTAGGCTTGAGCAGTGGTGAATCGGAGGCTTTGAAATCAAATGAAGGCTTGGCTGAAATGGTTGACCATGCTCGTAGGCATAGGGTGATAGAAGTATGTGCACATCATGATGTTGATCAACTGTTAGAAGTGGATGTCAATCTTATTCAAAATGGTAGCGAGACACGAACTCATTTCAATACTAGAGAGGATCAATTTCAAGTTTAGGATTAATTTGCAAGATACAAAGTGCACTTACATATCTCCTAAAAGGTATGGTCCTATTGTTTGGAGAAAGATGTTAACTCTCAAAAAAAGCCATTATTTGGGGATTAATGTAGTACTCATAACCTCAATGCTCTTATCAATCCCATAGCTAGCACACCCACAAACCATAATGAACAATCTATTAATGATGATAATTCAATGGAGGATGAAACTTACAAGATTGACCCTATTAACTTAGTTTGATGTGATGAAGGTGAATTCAGAGATAATAGAAAAAGAAAAGAGAGGCAAAGGACAAAACCAATTGCAAAGGTACGAGAGGGAAATGCAAATTTTCCTTATAATATTAATGTTGGTCATGTTAATGACAGAGATGCAAGAGATGATGAGGGAGGGTATGTGAGTGTTGACTCAGTTAATAGTGTTGGCAGTGAAGCAAAAAAAGCATTGAATTCTGATGATGAGGAGTTGTATGAGGTAAGGTAGAGGACTAAGAAGATTGTAAGAGCTGAGAATGGGAGATTTGTTCTTAGTTCAAGAGCATTATTACATGGTGACAATGTTGGACTATATTACAAAGTTGTGTTATTTCCACTATCTAACAAACATGAAGTTGGCACATCTGAACCCTTACCCACCACATGAAGCTGGCACAATTAAACCACAAGCCACCACTAATGAAGTTTGGCCTGAGTGAGCCCCAACAGTGTGAGGATGAAGCAAAAAAATCAAATAATGCTTTTGAGGGGTTGAAAATAAGAGGCTCAAGTACAAACGGTATATTACCAACTCAATCCTTTTGGCCTACCTATTGGACTACCTATGAGGATTAAGTAATCAAAGACATGGAGAGGGGATACTATGAGGGTTAAGTGATCAAAGACATAGAGAGGATGAAGAAGCTTTGATTGAATATGACGAGGATGGCCCAGTACGTAAGAATCATAACAAAGAAGAAAAAGGTGAATGTAAACTTCAAAATTTTCAATGAGGATACTGATATGAAATAAGTATACTTTGAACTAGAGTAAAAATTCACATCAAGGAATATATTAAAAGAAGCCATTCTTAAATGCTTTATTCAAAGTCACGATGATTTGATCTACTTGGAATGTAAACTTCAATTTTTTTAATGAGGATACTAGTATGAAATAATTATACTTTGAACTAGGGTAAAAATTCACATCAAGGAATATATTAAAGGAAGCCATCTTAAATGCTCTATTCAAAGTCACCATGATTTGATCTACTTGGAAAAATGATAAGAAGAGGCTTTAATGCAGGACGATGGGAATTTTAGGGTTTAATGTAAGGGATTTGGGAAATTTGGGGAAGAACAAAGATTTTGGAAAGCTAGGGTTTGGAAAAGTAACAAGATATGACCACGAATCGCAACCCGGGCCTTGGCTTCACCACCATTGACTCAATCTTAGAGATTAAATCAATACCCAAAGCTTCACAAATGAAACAAAATTTTCTTCAAATATTCATTATTTATTCCATAGAATTGACCTCTTTAAATAGGCCTTCAACAATTACAAGTTCACTCCCATATCCGATGTGGGACTAAAAAAAGAGCAAATACAATAAAGAGAATAAACGTAACACTAGCTAGACTCCAAGCCTTCTCAAAATCAAAACCAAATATAAGCTGAAGCAAGACGACGACGACGGCGAAAGTATGTGCGAAGTGGAGGCTGTGCGATGTCCTCATCAGGCTTACTATTGGTTGTTCACTTTGCCATTGGGGGATAATAGGAGGTCCAAATCTTGAGGAACATGAAGCTTGGCATATTGAAGGTATGCATCATTATCATCCTTGTAACTAAATTTTGAAAATAGAATAATCATGTAGAATTGGTTATCTCATGAGTCTCTTGACAATATATTAAGATATCCTAACTTCAGGCAAAGTGAAATTTGTGCTAAAATGACCAAGGAGTATGAGATCTATGTGTGTTTAAGAAAGTGTTAGAGAGCTAAGAATAAAGCTTTAAATATTATAGAAGGACCGATGAAGAAATAATATGGGTTGCTCAAGCTTTATATTAGAGAATTATACAAATTGCATGCAAGGACTATATGAGTATTAAAAATACATGAGTCTGAACAAGTCAATTAGCTACTTTCATGAGATTGTGTGTGTTTGGAAGCATTGAAGATGTATTTCTCACTTGAATGTAGGCATATATTTGACCTCGATGGATATTTTTGTTTGAAGCATGCATGTGGGAGTCAACTACTTTTTGCAATTGGGAGAGATGAAAATAGTCAAGTGTGGCCAATAGCATGTATGGTAGTTGAAGGAAAGAATGTTAACTCTTTGCACTGGTTTCTAAGGATTTTGAGTGAGGATCATTAGATGGGCAATGGTGATTGATGGATATTATTTCTGATCAGCAAAAAGTAATGTCAAGTTATATTATTTTCTTATGGTTAATTTTGTTGGATTAGATTTTTTAATCATATTAGTTGTACTAATCAATGGTTATATTTTACAAGCTTTGGTTCCTGCCATTCATGAATTATGGCCAACAGTTGACCATAAACAATATGCTAGACATATCTACTCAAATCAAAGAAAAGGTCTTTCAAAAACAAATTTGAGGTTACGTTAAGGTCATAAGCATGAGAGTGTTTATAACAAAAGCTGACAAGTTAAGAAGAACTCATACCAAGCTTATGATGATTTCATAGCTAGAGACCCGAAAACATTTTGTAAGTCTCATTTTAAATATTATAACAAATGTATAGTGTTGACAACAACATGACAGAAACTTTTGCCTCATTCATTTTGCTTGCGAGATTACACAATTATTTCTATGTTAGATATATAAATTTAGCCATCATCAATACAATGCAACAAAAGAAAAAACTTAAAGACAAATTTGTTGGTGGTACGAGCCCTATAGCATATTAAAAGATGAAAGAGGCATATGTTGAACAGATAAAGTGTGAAGGGCATTGGACTAGACAAGATGAGGTTAGCGAATTTGAGATAATTCATAAGAGACTAAGTGACGCAGTTTACTTGGGAAATCAAACATGTTCATGTAGAGTATGAGATTTGACTAGAATTCCTTGTGCAAGTGCTATTTGTGTTACCCTATTCATGAGGAGAATACCTGAAGATTTTATGTAAAGGCTCAAGCCTGCTTTAGATTATTTTCAACGGTAGATCTCAGGTGGGTAAATTTGAACCGTATGATTTTATTGAATTGTACATTTTTGACATGTGTCACATACTTTATTCCAGTGGAAGATCATAATCATTCCTTTTTATCTTTCATTAAAAATTAAATTTTGAGTTTTGAATTTGTTTTATTGGTTTTCATAATTTACTTGGGCTTTAAGAGAGATATGGGCTTTAAGGCATGTTGTCTTATTGAGTTGGATCAACTGCCAGTGTAACCATTAACACACAACACATCTCATGATACCTCATATAAAAGTATCATCTTCTCTCCCTCAAAAATTAGGGCTGACCTTTTGCAGAGCTTGGACCTTAAAAGAAGATAAATCTACACCCTAAGGCAAGTATTTTTACTTTCTAAATTAATTATTTTAAAGTTATAATTTATGGGTCTTTTAGATCTGTAGTTCATCTATCATTTCAACCAAAAAAAACTTTGATTTTAATTACTTTGTAGATACGTAGATTTTAATCAAGGGGTGGATTTCTTTAAAAGGTGGACTCAATCCACAATCTCTATCAAGGAGGAGGAGTCAATGTTTTAGATAGATGATATATTTGCAAGATTAAGACTTTTTCATGTTTTTAGGTATTTTTATCAGTTTTTGTGTGTTTTGAGATCTCTTTATCCTTTTTATATTTTTTGGGTTGAAATGAGCAGTTTTGATAAGAGGTTGTATCTATTTTTGATTTGAATTGCGAGCTCTCATGTTCTAATAGTAAATTTGTGAATACTTGATGTTTTGAGGTACAAATTGGTGGAGCAGTTTCTTTTTGGTAGTACAAAACTTGGGCAGAAGTTAGTTTTTGATTTGGTTTTGAAGCAAATGAGTATTTGATCGAAAAGCTTTTGGGAATTGTAGACACCAGTACAAGCACACACGCTCTATCTGATGTGCGCCCAAATTCAGTAAAATCCGGAGAGTTGATGATATGTCAAACAGGGGTCTGAAAATAATTTCACAGTAAAATTCAAATTATCAGGGTTTTGGGTTTGGGTTTTGTTTTTCGGGATAGACCCGTTTTATCAATTTTAAATCTGATTTAAAAACGGGCTGGGTTTCGATTTGGGTTCGGGTCAAACCCATTTAATTTAAACTTAATTCTTAGTGGGTTTGGGTGTGACGCTCCTGGTTTCACACAAGGCTGCAGTCCAATGTGA